AAGGATCAGAAAGATTAATTAGAAAGGGAAGACATACTCTTTCTTTTGAAATTCATTTCCTTTCTCATGAAACTTATTTCTATTTACTATCTTTTCCCACCCTGCCTACCCACCCAAGACCACTGCATCCAGATCTATGATAGAGCTTCCTACAGTATGGTTCCTATTCTTGGTAAAAGTCTATCAGATCGTGGTAGTTCGGCTCATGTAGCAGAGATGTATATAGTTAAATGGAAAGCTTTGAATACCTCTGAAGTATTATTGCTATTTGCACAAATGATTTCTTTTCACATAATTAGATAAAATTCTTGTGAATTTTCTCTAGTCTAATTTCAGTACAGACATACTGAGACCTTTGGTTCATTCTAAAACATTCCTCAAAAAGGTTAAGGTTGGTTCCTTTAAAATTCTTTCTTCAATGGGCTTGAGAATCTAAGCTCTAAGTACCTCTAAACCTCTTCCATTTACTAAGTCTCAATCAGAGAGACAATGGAAACAGACCAGAAGGAGAAAAAACCAAACATTTCTGTCAGTCTGGTTTCTGGGACAGGAAAGTAAGGCCTGGTTTGTTCTCAATGAGCACCTAACTGGTATATATGATGCAGAAAGGTTTCCTCTTTCATAGAAATAGAAGATAAAGCAGAGAACAGATCAATTTCACTCTCCTACTGGGCCTCTAAGCAGCCTAAGCACCTGCTTAACCTAATGAAAACCATCAAAACCCCACTGAAGAAAGGCACAGAAGTGAGAAACAGAGAAGCTAGTCAACTCATCCCTCATCCATATTAATAGTAGTAATAACGAGAATTGCTATCTTTTTTTCAGTGTCCCAAAGTATGAAACACTGCTAGATTCTTTACACACACAACGCAAAGAGTCTGCCAAATTTCAACAAGCCTGCAAAAAAGGCATTATTAGCTATCCATATATTATAGATGAAAAAAGAGACTTAGAAAAGTTCAGTAGCATTCCCAAGGTCAGACAGCTAGGCAGTGCTGAAACAATTTTGACTCTAAAGCCCATTGTGCTTTCTTCTCTGTCACTTCCCTTGCTCTGTCAGTTAAAACAGTGAAATCAGAAAATATCAAACTTTACTTTCCTTCGGTAAGCTTTTGATACCATCCTGACCTGAGACCTATGTTCTAGAAATACAATCAGCTCAAACATTAATCAACTTTTGTAATGGCTACATCCTCTGTGTCTTATACTATTACATGCTAACATCTTTTAGAATTATTCCTATTGGACATATTTCTCTCTACATTTCAGATTTATCCCTCCATTCATACTCATTTAGCTAGGCAAAAATCAACTAGGTTCATCAGACTGCTTGACTTTGTAAATGGCATATTCATTTACATAGTTAATTTCTCAAGAAATAAGCTTTCTTTGTTCAAAGACTGAAAACTACCAAGGATTTTTATGTTTTAGTAATAAATTCTCTATTTCATGTAAGAACAAATCCTTCAAAAGCCTGATCCAAATGCAAATATGTAAAATATCTTTACTCTTTTCTACTAAGGGACTGGACTGGTCTGGGTTCGTATAGTTGATCAATAAATCCTGTTATTAGAACTTTTAAAACAAAAAACCTATAAATTAGGATAGCACACCTTTAAAATGCCAAAAATCAGAATCCATATAGTTCCTCATACAGAAACAGGCTTTAAAATAATTTGAAATTATCTGATTTCATGCATGAGTCTGAATCATTCATGTACGAGAGGTTAATGTATCTGTAGTTAAAACTGTATTGTTTTAAATCATATCCTTGTTTTATGTTTCTAAGTTTTACAGAGTTTTATGTACTGTAAAATCATCTACATTATCCTTTGACAAGTTTATACTGGTAAAGGGGATTTGTACTTGAGCAATCTACTTGGAATAAAAACCACGGATGTCACTGTTTTTTAATCATACCTTTCATTCTCTTTTCTTTGACAAATTCTACAAATACCACTTATCTTTAGGTGATTCAAAAAATCTTAATTAAACCAATTATACTAACTAAACCATTTTAATTTTTGAACATGGTCTAATATTTACTCCAATCTTCACTCACAATAATAATAATAAATGCTCAAATCAAATCCTTTTATACCAAATGCAAAATTGGTCTAACTACAACACATGTCTAAGTCTTTGACTTATTTACATGCCTTTTCCTTTACTTTAATCTTATAAGGTAGGTGGGGGCGAGCAAACTTTTCTGCTGAGGGCCAGATAGTAAATATTTCGGGCTATGTAGGCCACAGGGTCTTTGTTGCAACTGCACCACTTGCAGCTGTAGCGCAAGAACAGCCACAGAAGACACATAAATGAACGTGTGTGGCTGCACTTAGCTGACACCCTGATAGATCTGGCCCATGGCAGTAGTTTGCTGACCCGTGTGCTAAGAAAACAGGAAAAACTGTGTCACTACAATCACCTGGGGGTATCTTAATATTCATCCTGATAGAAGAAACTATTCTGCCCATAACCATGCTGAGTTTAGACTGCTTCGACACTAAATACAATTAATCTTGATCCAGAAGAGTGCTAAATGTAATAGTCCACCAAAGTTAAATTCTGCTTTACCAGACAGCCACATATTTTTGTGTGTGTTTTGTGTGTTAGGTCGCACCCTGTGGCCAGGATTTCTAAATTGTCTGCTACCTCCTCCTTCTCTCACTTTATTTCTCCAACTCACCCCAATTCCACTTAACATAATATTTATTTATTTATTTATCTTGTTCTGGGGAGATCAAGGTATCACCACCTCCTCTGTATTTAAAAAGTGATTTCAGGGACTTCCCTGGCGGTCCAGTGGTTAAGACTCCGTGCTCCCAATGCAGGGGGCATGGGTTCGATTCCTGGTTGGGGAACTAAGATCCCACATGCTGCATGGAGCAGCCAGAAAAATAAAAATCAAAAAAATTTTTTTAAAAAAGTGACTTCAATTTCCCCTACTTCTGCTACCAGAGTTGGAGGCTGACTTCATTTCCAATCCCCTTCCCTGCTGCCTCCAACTGTCTAAATTGGATAAGCTAAACGCTCACTTCCTCAGCCTCCCTTGCGGATTAGCATGCCCATGTGATAAAGTTCAGGACAATAAACATCTCATGAAAGACTGCTGTGGGGCATGTCGAGGGAAATGCCCTGAGAAAGATTTTATGTATTTTGAAAAAGGACAGGGAGCCACAACTACCAGAACGTCTTCCTTCCCCTTTCTTTCTGCCTTAATGCAAATGTAATACCTGGAATTGGAGTAACCATCTTGAAACCTGGAATCTTGCAACCATTAGAAGAAGCTAAGAGAACTGTATGGACCCAGCACTGAAAACTTTAAGCCACTGAACCAATGCCAGAGGCCACTTATCTCCAGAATTGTTATGTGCAAAGAAATAGACCCTGTAAAGTGAACTTCTGTTACAAATAAAAGCATTCCTAGTCCACCTTTTCTTGAAAGTGCTAGGGTCCTGAGTCACTATTCCTTTTGCAAAGTGAAAGACTAACACTGGCTGAGCACAGACGTGAATTCTGACTAAACAGTGCTATTTTAACCAAGAGAGAAAAGTAGCAAGAAGAAAATCACAGAGGTGGGGGCGTAGGCTGAGAGTTGACAACCCAGCGCAATAAAGTCAAAGAAAGCAAAGAAAAGAGAAGGCCCAAGATGATTATTCAAATGCTAAAGAAATATAGAAAAAAAAAAATTGAAAAAGTACTCCTTTCAAACTGTGGGGCCCATAAAACTAACAAATGTTCTACTCCACAAATCAAATCGGAGAATTCTGATTCTATTAATTTGCAATCATGCACTCCCACTGTTTGAAAGATACAAGTTCAGAACTCAATTTTTATAGTTATTTTTTGTGCTTTTTTTTCCAGTGAATTAATTTATCTTTATGCTTCTATTTCCCTGGTTTTCACAAAGGTATAGTTACTGTCAATACATGATCATTTTTGACACTCAAAGAATCTTCAAAAAAATTATTAAAATCAAGTAAATGGGGGACTTCCCTGGTGGTCCAGTGGTTAAGATTTTACCTTCCAATGCAGGGGGTGCGGGTTCAATCCCTGGTCAGGGAGCTAAGATCCCACATGCCTTGGGGCCAAAAAACCAAAACATAAAACAGAAGCAATACTGTAACAAATTCAATAAAGACTTAAAAAATGGTCAACATCAAAAAAAAAAATCTAAAAAAAAGCAAATCAAGTAAATGATGCTACTGACAATAAGGACAATCGTTCCTTTAAGCATTCACATACTCCTTTAGCTGGCAGATCCTAACTTTAGGGACAGTCACTTCTCTTTTATACCAATGTCACTGCAAAAAGCACCCAAATATAAGTATCTACCCAGTCAAAACAAACTTCAGAAATATGCTTATTTCAACTCACATATCCCTTAAAGTACAATTCTTAAGTTAAAACACCATTTTTAATTTTACTTTCTTACAAATAATGAAATTATACATATTTACACTCACACACACATAACCCTCTCTCTAATTCTAAACCCATAGTTTTCTCTTCCATGAGAATAGTTTGGTAGTATTATGTTGCAGTATAAACATTTATCAATTACAATATCTGTAAGTTACAACGGATTTTTTTTATTTTTATGATTTCAGAATAGAATTCCTTAGAACTGTCAAAGCTTTAGCTAGAAAGAATACCAAAGACAAAGAGGGTTCAGGCTCAATTACAGTAGTGGAACGGAATTTAATAAAGTTCCAACACTACATTTTAATGCCCAAATTTCTTATTGTCTCTTTGAATTGACAAATGTGTGCTCCACAGTATAACAGCAGCAGTGGAACAGCTGGACGACTGTATCAAGCACAAAGGAAGCAACAACACATGCTGTTAAGTGTCGTTCTGATTGCCTAAAAATGGCAGCCCATGCAGATTTACTCTCTGTTATAAATTAAAACAATTATTTCTCTGGAGTTTACACTTTCTTCATGAAAGAGTCAAACTTTCTGCACGTTAAAAAAGAGGACTTTCAAAAAGGATATCTTCCCTTTCTTTTATGATCAGTTCATTCTGTTCTTCCAACTGCCTGATCTTCTTCTCAAATGATTCCTGCTCAGCTTTGAGTCTTTCTTCTGTTACTTCCTTTTCCTCACTTACTCTGAAAGAAATACAAGTGAAAAGAAAATGCCCATGAGAATAAAATAAAATATGTGCCTACAGCTGTGGTTTACCAAAACTAGATTTATTCCAGAGGTATGCTGGTTTCTTCAGGGATACTTTATGTTTTTTGAATTTTTTAAAATTAACCTTTCACAAGGCAATATTCCACACCTTTGTAATAAAATATGCATGTGGTTTTTACATCAAGAACTTTTGCAATAATCAGAATGTCTTAAATATGGAAAGTCCTATACTTTATGGGTTCCCAGTTATGATCCAAGACAGAAAAATATCGAATTTTTAAAACAAAGGTTTCACCTCTTCATTATCAAATAAGGCACAATTTATTTTGATTTAGATCTTTTTCATACTTCTATTTAAACCCTGTCAATAAAATAAACAACATATATACTGCTTAAATATTGCACTAAACATACATAGGTGATTTTACTTTTTCCTGGTACTAATACCCTGCAATCTTCAGTAGCATACAAATAACTGGACTGGAATTTTTAAATGGCATTAAGATAAAAAAAGGTTTGCACATTTATTCTTAGTTCAAAAAGGGGTTATAAAGTAAAAAACACTGACCAAAAATATGTATCTTTAATGCTTAACTCTGAGAGGTATTCCAACTCAATACTATCAAAAATGGGTGGTGTCTGATAAGAGCACAGAGGGGGGAAAAAAACCTAAACATTAAAACTTACCTTAAAATGACAACCCTAATTTTCATGTTACTCTGTGAACAGAGATGTTAGCTCTGAATTTCTGTCACTGGTGATTAATTCTCCAAAGAGAGTACAACACATTTTATTCTATAAGATCACACAGGGATATGTGTTAGTGAAATCCACAGGGAAGCCAAATCTTTTCTTTGAGCATCTAAATTTATTTCCTCCCACACCTGTACTCCACCAGAGCAATTTCTGAATAACATGAACTCCACAGCCTTTCCTTTGTTGCTAGCTTTCTGGTGGAGATATTAAGATCAATGAAATAACAGAATGAAAATTAGAATTTTGAATGTTCAAGAGTTGACTGCATCTTGTCTTTGAATTAATTTGTGTGAAAGTGCAGGGCATATAGTAATGTTCAAAAAATAGCTTTATTTTTTCTTGCTTATCATGACATTCCAATCATTTTCCCGACTCCTATTATTTACATTTAGCATACTACTAGGCTCATGTATGGGACTCAGGACCTTCTTTCTACGAGCATAATCTCTAATACTGATACAATTACAAGGAATCCACACAACTAAACAAAGAACAAATATACACATACGTAGAGGATTTATAATCTGGTCTCAGGTTAGCCTGCTCCCTTGTTGCCATCTCTTTACAATGCCTTCGCTATTCTTGTCATTATCCTCAACCACATTTATACTAACATCTTTCACAGTAATTCCCCACTGCCTCTTAAGTTTTTTCTAAAATTGTCAAACATTTGAACCATTAATTCATTCTATCATCCAAATCACTCCTCTTCAATCTATCAACTGGCTTCTGAAACACCTTTGCTAGGAAACTGTTCCAGATCAAGTACACCCCCAAACTGTAAATCAGAAAACCACGTACATATGGTGACTGTGGCAAAGCATGCTTATTTCTCTGGGCATCATTACTCCCACTCATAAACAAAAAAGGCTAGACAATTTTAAAAATTCCTTCCAGCTTAAGTTCTATAATTTCCTTTACTATACTATAAACATACTGGAACTATATATATGTCCTTTACAAATATGGAGAGCATTTGTAAAGAAATAAGAAAGAAGTTAACAAACATCCGGTCAGGGTACAAGGCATACAATACTGTAATCTATGCAAAAGCTACAGCCATAGGATGAAAGAGGCAGTGGAAGAGGATGACAAGAGAAATATTAAAAAGTGTAACGATGCAAAATTTCGCATGAGGTTAACGTAAAACAAAAGAAGTGATGAATCTGTAGGATTATGCATAAAAGAAAGATGAAATAGGTAATGCTATATATTGTAAGGAGAGAATAAACACTGTCAAGGTGAGAAAATATGTGGCAAGTTCTCTCCCTGTTTAGATTGGTCAAATCTTAAAGATGAGACTGAAGAGGAAAATCCATAAGCAGATAAGAGAAGATTTATTTTCATTTACTTATTAAAAAATATTAACTGAATGCCTACTATAGGAAAAAATAATCACAGTAAGTTTGTCCAGTTATGGGATATCCGAAAGGAACCTCACAATGGCCCCTTGTCATTTCAATTCCATTCATAAAAGCCAAATAAATATGAGGAATGACCCAAAGATTTGTTTGTTCAAGAAAGCAAGGCTTCCAAGGTCATAAAAACAGTAACAACAAAGTACACTGCCACATTTACCTAACATTAAAGTAAATGAAGAAAGTATGTCTAGAGACTGCCAGGTCAGAACATATACCCCAGCATTTACTTACTCCCTTTGTCAAACCTGAAGAAAATCCATGAAAACTCTAGGGATCACTGACGGCAAAAAATGCTTGTACATATATTCAATAATGCCAGTGGCTATGATGAGCTTCTCCCAAAACTTAAAGTGCTCTATCCAGAAGAACCACTCTTTCCTAAATTTAGTTTCTAGAGATATTTGAAAATTTTGTTGCTACACTATTTAAACAGGGCTTTTTTAAAAAAAAAAAGAAAATCTTTTCTGTTACGCTGCTATGATTAGACTACCTATTAGCAATTATTATGCTCTGGAAGGCTATAAACTTAACAAGCTGTGTTAAGCACAAAAGGCAACACTTCTATAGGCCTATCTAAAGATATGCATGGCTTCTCTGTGGTCTATTAGCATAGTTAATAGGAGCAAGTGTATTAATACAGCCTTTAAATGCAAAGGACTTGCCAATAAAACAAACTCAAGATTTTATATCCACTCTGAAATATGTCTTCCTGTTTAATTTATGTTCAATAATATTTCCCATGAGGTGTATGTATGAGAAATTATCTGGTATCATGATCTACATTTTTTATCAAAGCATTCTCAGACCACAAAGTAACATAAAAATACCTAATCCTCTATCTCATTTAGAGTACAGCAATAAGCTAGTTAACAAAATGAGAATGTAAACACAAAAAAGGGAAATATTTGACTAATAGGATAGAAAAGTTGAAAACTCTGGTCAAGAGGATATTCCCAGTGTTGGTTTGTTAATTATTTACAAGGAGGACAATAGTCTGTTCATAAAGAAATAATCATTTCAGCATTTATTTAACATCTCAGAGTATTTCTCAATTATGTCCACAAACTGCACTCTTATCTAACAAGGAATGATAATTCATACACTTAGAGTTGGGTGGTTTGGCTAAAAACCATGGCAAAAAACCTGAGTTTCCTTGAAGGCTTATGTTTTAGCTTAAACATCCCTGCACATTCTGTATTTTTCTCCATAAAACAATCTTTTCTGTTTTAATATAAAAAGTTTCCCCATACCCATCTATTCTAAAATTTTTAGTAAAACTAATGTTCTAGGAAGAGATTTATTTTATGGCTTTACATATCCCCAATGTTCTTCTAGGTACTCCAGAAATGTCTTTCTAATGTGAAAGACAAGGTCAAGGCAACGAAGCTTCTATCCCAAAGAGAATTAGTTAGAGCTCACCAATGGTCAACCAGATAAATTTCTTTCCCTGATTGATATCTCACATTTGGAAGCAGAGAATGCTGGTAGCATTCTATAAATTCTCAATATTAACTTAGTGGATAAGATTTAGAGAGATTAGATGTCCTAGATTTCACAGGACATCTAGCAGACAGAAAGGGATATACTGTTTTTAAGCAAATGTAAATGCATGGTGAAAAAGAAGAGCTTTCATCATTAAAAAAATATATTTATACAAATATATATATATATATATATATATGGCAGTGAAATCATCTTAATGCCCTCTTTACAAATTTTAACATTTGACTGTAATTTAAAATGTACTGTCTAAAGGAACAAAGGTGCTTTAAGAAACGAGAAACACAGCAATCTATGTCAAAAGAGCTCTAAGAACTACAAAACAACAGCAAATGAATGTAGATGCAAAAATCCTCAACAAAATACCAGCAAGCACAATCCAGGAACATTTAAAAAAAAAAAAAAAGGATTATACATCATGCCTAACTGGAATTTAACCCAGAAATGAAAAGTTGGTTTAATAATCAAATATCAATTAATGTAATATACCATATCAATAAAATAAAGGACAAAAACCACATGATCATCTAAATAGATGCAGAAAAGGGTTTAAAAAAATCCAACAATGATTCATGATTTAAAAAAAAAAAAAACCTCAGTAAATAGGAAGAAAAGGAAACTTCCTCAACCTGAAAAAGGCCATCTACGAAAAACCCACATCTAATACCATATTTAATGGTGAAAGACTAAGTGCTTTCCCCCTGTGATCACAAACAAGTCAAGGATGTCTGCTCTCGCCACTGCAAGTCAACTTTGTATTAGAGATTATAGTCAGGGCAATTAGGTAGGGAAAAGAAATAAAAGGTATCAAGGTATCTAGATTCTAAAGAAAGAAGTCAAACCATCTCTATTTTATGTGACACAATTTTGTACACAGAAAATCTAAAAAATCCACTTAAAAACTATTACAACTAATAAAGGAGTTCAGCAAGGTTACAGGATAAAAGATTAATATACAAAAGTCAACTATATGTTTATACAATGATAGTGAACAACCCCCAAAAGAAATTAAGGAACCAATTCCATGTACGTCTGCATCAAGAAAAATAAAATACAAAGGAATAAATTGAACAGAAGAAGCAAGACCTGTACACTGAAAACTATGAAAACATTGTCAAAAGAAATTAAACACCTGTATTAATGGAAAGACATTCCATGTTCATGACTGGAAGACTTAACATTGTTAAGATGGCAGTACTCCCCACATTGATCTTCAGATTCAACTCAATCTCTATTAAAATCTCAGCAGGTTTATTTGCAGAAATTAACAAATTGATCCAATCCTAAAACTCATATGG